GCCCACCTTCACCTGTGGTCTTATGAATGACCTGGGGGGGGGCTTAAAGCTTGACTGGTCGGTGCGGTAATTGTGCGGATTTGACTTATGAAAGGGGCTGATCATGTATTGCGTTCGGGTCCGCATGAGACCCCCACTCGGTCCGGATCCGGACCGAGGTCCGCCTATTAGTGACCTCTGTCATACAGTATGTTTTGACGATTACTTGTATTTCCTTTTTCAGTGCTTAATACTGCTGATAATGATTCACTACAAATTATTACTTTCTTTATTCTATTGTTCTCCACCCACTCTAATATAGCACATAATTCCACTGTGTATATGCCCAAAAATCTGATGTTCTTTTTGAAATCTTGATATTTAATTCTGGATCAACTCAAATTTCACCTCTGTGTTTGGATTTATAGGAAAAAAAGCATTGTTTCTGCTACTTCCTCAGCTCCTCCCACACCTGTTCCTGTTTGTCTCCCTGACAGGTGTATGCGATTTAATCTTGTTAGTGCCTCTACGTTCATGTTCCTCAGTTCAGTTGGYGAATGCTATATTGTAAATTTTATACCACATCATATTTTACATCAGATGGCTAGTTACACTGAAAGGAGATCATGGTTTATAACATTTATGATGTGAAACGRGTTTGTTATAAATCTTGGTCTATGATTTATTGCAGTTCTTTGCACTATGGGTATGGCACACACGCATATTGCAATGACGCATTTTTGATATATTGTGTAGTCTCCAGTACAAACCACTTGTTGCTTGTAAATATTTTGTCACCATGGAACTGAACTGATCCTGAACCCGAACTTTAGTTGTAGGCTAATTTGTGTGTTCACACCGATGGAGAGAGGTCTTTTCAACTTACCACCGAGGTGTTGAGCCCGGACCAGCGAGGTCCATGTATGGAGCCACACTTGTTAGTTTGGATTTTGCAGGCAGGGATTAGGAGCTGCACCTCATCTGGATCGGTGGCCACCTTCACATCAGACAGGGCCTTGGCCCACGCAGAGGAGCTGACCAGCCACATGAAGGAAAACACTACGGTCACTACAAAATCCTGAGAGAGAGAGACATGTGAGCACTTCCTGTTAGAGTCAGTGTGAAATATCAAACACARAGGTGGAACAGTAGAGTCCACTGTACTCACAATGAGGGGTCTTTGGCTGTTTTCACGATACTTATTTAGAAAAAATATGTAGCCCACAGTGGCCACCAGGGAATACAGGAAGGCAAAAACAGCAATAGTGACAAAGAATTCAGCAGAGGAAGAAAAGTCTCCGGCGAGAAAAACCCGCTCCCTCCTCATGGCCTCACATGCTGGCGCATCAAACGACACTTGGTACAACCTGAAAAACACACACACATTTTATTTCTATTCTTATTAAGACTGTGTATTGACTTCCATTCATTTTGTAGCTTAACCCTTACACTAAACCTAACAATACCAGTACCTCTAATCAACAAGGTTATAATAGTCTTGGATTTTTCATTATAGTTTAGTTTTATTTTGTTGTGACTTTTTTCCTTTAATTCAGTTAGTTTTAATTAGTTTTTACAGTGGCATCATCAATCAATCACGAACAAACTCAGACTGTCTCCCTTAAGAACAATTTTGTCCCACTGACCTGAAAGGATAAGCAAAGTCAATGGMGATGCTCAGGTTGCTGCTGGCCTTCTCCATGCAGTCCACACTGACCCGCAGCTGCCCCGAGTAGCCCCCACATGTCGCAAAGGCAAAGATGGCAAAYAGCTGCAAGCAACAGAGGAAAACAAACATTTTGTTATTCTACAGCTAGAAATAAAATAGGCAACAGCAGTGTTGTAGGCAGCACTATCTGTACTGATAGCAAAATATTATTTTCATTGTCACTATAGGTGTTGCAAATCTTGTTTGATTCTTTGTGTCCCTGTGATGGACAGGCAACCGGTCCATATTGTATCTCGCCCCTCTCTTAAGGACCGCTGGAGACAGTCACCCTCAATACTGCACAGAAAAATACATTGAATGAATGGATGATCGGAATCATTCCCACCTGCTGACGTTGCTTTAGAGGCAGCATGCTTGGCTTTAAATTCCAGTCATTTTCTATGTGAATGCTGGAATTAATTATTTTTTATTAAGGACATCGAATCAACCTTCACATCATCAGAGAGTGTGGTTTTGGGTTTTGCTGATTAGATGGTCCTTTTGGGTTTTGGTTTGGAGCACATAGGTTTCAAACTGTGGAAGAATTCTTATTTGGAGTCATAAGAAAAACAAAAAATGACATTGAACAGCAACTTGTCAATCAATCAATCAATCAATCAATCAATCAATCAATCAATCAATCAATGAATCAATCAATCAATCAATCAATCAATCAACTTTATTTGTAGCCACAGGTTAATTTGATTACAGTGAAAGGGAGTCAGCTTCATTCCAAGAAAAACACAAGACATATGACATGGACATACATGATTAAAAAGATGCTCAGTACAAAATATAAATACAACTCCCATCTCTAAATACAACATCAGAATACAAATATAAAACAGGATAAAATAAGGTAAAAATCATAAAACCCAATTAAAAAAGAAAAACAAACAAGACTAAATTATATTATGTTATACTATGTTAACTTGAATTTAAAAAGCTGAATGCAACAGGGAACAAAACACTTAGTTTTACATTTTGGCACTCAAAGTTTAGTTAAAAACAAAGACACACGTATTTCCTCTTTGCCTTTGTTTTAAACTAAACTTTAAACTAAACTGAGGCAGCACAAACATGCACATGGATCCTGCTCCTTCCTGTCCGTTGACCAATAGGAGAGGAGCTGACCCAGGAAGGACCGCCCACCTTATTTACATAATGAGGCAGAAATGCACAAAGTAAAGTAAAAATAGGACGCAGATGAATGTAAAAAGAACACATGGAAATAAGTCTTGTGAGAGTTTAAAAAATATACATATTTTATATATTTTTAAAAACTGTAAATTATAAATTAGGTGCTGAAATACATAATTGTGCTGGAACTAAGCTGAAAAAATAAATATGATGGTCAATTAAATTATTAAAAAAACAAGGTAAAGTTATCCTTTTTTAGTTTATTTGGTGCATTTTAAGTGTATTTAGTTATTTATTGGTCCATTTATATGCTGTATTTCTGCTTTATTTTCTAATTATGGCAGTTTTGGTCACCCACAGCCTTGAAGGTCAGTTTACTGTCAATAACAGTACCAAGATATTTATAAATATCATCCCATTCCACTGTGTGACCCTTCAGATAAGTAACCTTCTGTTCATGTGTGTGTTTTCTAAAATCAATAAGAGTGTTCTTAGTTTTTGAAGTATTTATCTGCAAAAATGCCTCATCACACCACTGAACAAAGTCCACCACAGGGCTGTGGCATCATGTTTCGTTTACATTTAGCAGACTAATGATGACAGAGTCATATATAAACAGCTGAATGTTTTTTTCTACTTTAACATCCCGTGAGAGCAAAACTGAACAACCTGCACCCTCCCACCACCCACAAAACACATCCTCAGACAGTTACTTGTGTAAAAAATAAGCCAGAGAAACAACAGCAGCAGCAGGTTTTAACACAGAAAGCATCATATAATTTAATATAAAGACATAATAATGCATTAAAAATTCAAATGCAATTCAGTGATTCCCAAATATATTAAGAAAATTACATTAAGGATTTACCATCAGCAATATGGAGCTATAGCTCCACACAGCAGTGGTCCCAAAAATCATTGATGATTGAGGTCTCCCAATTTTAAAATAATACCAAAGCAGAATTTCCCTAAACATTAATTCTGTCATGTTTAGATGATGACATAAATAACAAACTGGAAAACTCTAACACAAAATAAATGAAACGGGTACTGGATGAGGCAGAACTGAACAAAAACAAGAAACACAAGAACAACAACACTCACTAACCTAAACTGTTTATACCTTCCTCTATCTCCCATGGTGTTCCATTGTATTAGGACCACGGTTTGCTCATCAAAAGGACTACTAGTCCTGACAAGGTGTTTATACCAGAAAAGGTCTGAAAAAGGTAACAGAAACCAGAAAACCACACATAATCTGAAAACAGAGCACTCTTTTAGCCCATATAAACCTCCCACAGCCTGAAGAGTTGTCAGAAACATAATCACCATAATTAGAGCTGACGCCTGGTAAGCATGAACCTCCTTGTTTCCATATTGCAGACAGATGGAAATGCAGCCTGCCAGCAGCTGGCAAGGAGATTTATCTCCAGGTTTGAAAGATCCTCCGTCTCTGGAGGGCGCTATCACACCACTGAGATGACCATCCAGTCATCCTGGGAATGTGTCTGGATGGGTTTTGAGGGCATAGAAACACATGCCATCTTACTAACAGTTTTACTAAAAGCAACTCACACTTGTCAAAAACATATTTAATTCATAAACTATGGCAAAGTGTGCCAGGACTAAGAGTAAAATTCTGAGTACTAGGAGCTACAACTCGATATAACTCGTTTTATACCCAAACACACACACAAACTTGTTTTTATATCCTTGTGGGGCCCGTCCATTGACTTCCATTCATTTTTTGGTAATTTTATATCCTAACTCTGACCACCAACCCTAAAGCTAACCTCATGGGTACTTACCTGACCCTAAAACTAACCTAAACTCAATTCACACCTTGACAATCCTCACACCCAAAAACAGCCCCCAAAGTTGTGGGGCCCATGGCTTTTTTTTTTTTTTGTGTGTGTGTGTGTGTGTGTGTGTGTGTGTGTGTGTGTGTGTGTGTGTGTGTGTGTGTGTGTGT